AAAAAAAAAAAAAAAAGGACATTCCAGGATTCGATCCCACGCCCGTTCACTCCGCACGCAGTCACGCTATCCATTCGGCCACCTCAGCTCCGTACTGGAATAGGTAGATTAGGCTTCATATATTTATAGCACTGTTTCAGAAGTTTCCAAACTGCTAAAACTGGAATCATAGGCCCAACACAATATTTACCACTAGCCTACCGCAGCCAATCAGCTTCTGGCTGACGGGGCTGCAGCTAGCCGCAAGTCAAAACAACGTCATAGAATAGAGACCCTTGTTTGCAAAATTCGGTAATCTTTTACGAAATGCTGAGAGAGATCATCAACCATGAACTTATCGTTACAGAATGTACTTCCATTTATCTTTTTTTTTTATCATATTGTAGGCATGATATAGATATCATTTTTAGCACTAAATAGCAAATTTTAATTGCCTAATGCCCTTGTCTGTTGTCAATAAAATATATAAAAAAACCATTAAAAAAACACATTTTTCTCCCTTTTCCCACAAAAGAGTCTAGTTGTTGTTCTTTGTTAATTTTGTACTGCTGGCCGCGAGATCTACTATACCCACATACCGCATCGTTCGTTTCTGTTGAGGGGCTTGGTTTGTTATTGTTTTTGTTTTTTTATCGCAGTCGCAGTGACTAATGATAAGGACGGAGAGTTGGAAAGGGTAGCTTTTACTTTGAGCCTCTTCAAGACACTACAAAGAAAAAAAAGTTTGATCCCTCTGTTTTTTTTAAATGCATCGGTTTCTTCAGTCAAATCATCATGTCAAAGCCTATTAAAGACACACTTATTCTTCAGACAGGAGGTAGGTTTTCGACACTTTTGTGCCTTATTCAGTGCCTTAGTAGTTAGTTGGAAGAGGCTAGCCGTACTTATTCTTAATATGATGGCTAGACTCACCATTAAAAAAAAATAGGCCTACTGAATTGTAAATATACATTTTTAGTGTGCAGTACCTAAAGTATTTGTATTTGAGACGAAACCAGGTGCCTTATTGACAGTGCATGTATTTTAAACCTCCTGTTTTCTAATGTTAATAGGGCCTAAGATAAGTACGGCTAGACTGGCAGTCTAGCCGTACTTAAGTACGGCTAGACTTCTTGTCTTGCCGTACTTAAGTACGGGTAGACAGCCAGGCTAGCCGTACTTAAGGACGGCTAGACTGTCAATCTAGCCGTACTTAATATTGATGGCTGAATTGTAAATAAAATTTTTAGTTTGCAATGCCTAAAGTATTTGTATTTCAGACAAAAACCAAAAGGTGCCTTACTGACTTGCATGTATTTGAACCTGAATAATTACTAGATCTAGATCTGAGACCTGTGTACTTAACAGGCTTGAGTCGATAGGGCCAAACCTAGATCTAAGTACGGCTAGACTGCCAATCTAGCCGTACTTAAGTACGGCTAGCCACTTCGTAGTTAGTTAGCTTAGCCTATAAATATACGAGGGGCGTCCAGAAAGTAAGTACCGTTTTAAAATAATTATAAAAGAAATAATTTTCCCTATCAAAACGATTTATTTTTGAATACTTCATATAAATTCTATAGACTACTGTTCCACACAGTCACCAGAATTGTTGAGACAATTTTGTCGTAGCGTGGGAAGAGCTTCTGAATGCCCTCATTGTGGAAAGCTGCTGCCTGCGATGTCAGCCAATGTCCAGTCTCTCCTGTGAGATCAGTGTGTGAGTTGAAGTCCTGCGCGGCCAGAAACTTTTTTAAATGCAGGAACAGATGAAAGTCACTCGGAGCCAGGTCTGGGCTGTATGATGGGTGCTACTGTTCCCATCCTAAGGAGGCGATCATGTTTTGGGTCTCTGCAGACTTGTGAGGAGTTGCATTTTCGTGAAGCAGAACAAGGCCGTTGCTAAGCATTCCGCGTCTTTGGTGAATTACTCTACGCAGGCCACGTCAGGAAAAAAAGTTATGTGTAGGCCTACAGTGTTTTGGGACAGGCAAGGAGTTCTTTTAGGAGTATTTTGGGGAAATGGGATGACAAATGACTCTGATATGTACTGCAACACACTTAAAAAACTGCGTAGAGCGATCCAAAACAAAACACGAGGAATGCTTAGCGACGGTGTG